TTTTTTTTTAGAGCCTTGGACCCCAATTCGGAAAATGTATGTGCTCTCTTTAACCCTGACCTTGGCCAACATATAGACCGGTAATTCAGGTGTGTATCCCTTCTCAACACAAGATAGGTGGGAACGGTTCTCTGTTGTCTGATCGCGAAATAATGGAGGCATTGAAGGAAAGAAGAAAAAATGACAAGTTGAGGCTTTTATATACGTCCATTGCTTCTAACATGTTTTTAAGAACAAGAAAAATGCAACAACTACTCTTAGAGCAAGTGAAGCCACGATACTATACGGTTTTGGGGGCAGGTGGCCAGGCACATTTACCATTAAAACCAGATACCAAAACCCCACAGCAAAAGAAAACCAGCCAGAAGTTAGCCCCCATGACCTTTTTTTTATATATATATATACATTTTTAGAATACTCTTCAAATCCTCTTTGAACAATAACAACAACAACAACAACAACAACAAAAGACAGTCTTTATATTAAAAATGTCCATGTTCTTCACTGTTAACTTCGAAAGCAGCTTGAAGGATTTCGCTACTTGGAGCATACTGCAAATTGACTCCACGAAAGTGATCTTGGTAGGATAGCAGCACAGGATTTGATATTCCATACTCATCGCTTTTGACAATGTAAACCTTTCCGAAAATAGTATTTCGCCTAAAAATTAGACTCATTCAAAGGTCTGATCATCCGGTTCCCTGAGGCCTGCCAGGGAGGTCTGGCTTCATACCATGGGTTTCCTGCTTTCTCAGGGTGGCGCACAGGCGTCACTGCATTTCAGGAAGAATCCGAAGGACGGCCATGGGACGGGCCCTGTGGAAGGAGGGCAGGAGCGCTCTGGATGGATCTGTGTCAAAACAGACCACGTAGAGCAACCCTCTAAAGATCAAACCATCGTGGCCAGAATGTAATCCCCTGGTCATTTCCCATCTGGATTTTCAACTGAATGAATCTCATGGGGTTAACCAAACATGGATGTCGTCCTAACTAATATGAGTTAGATTCTGATTTGCCCAGGAACTAAGAAACCTTCAAGGAACAAGGTCAAAGGGACAAGAGATACGTCCTTCACAATAATTCTGTTGACGTGGAAACGCACATAACTTGGTTGAAGCAATCTCCCTCAGTGGCCAGCACGCTCCAGGGGGTTTTCACGTCGCTGAGACCCAGGGATTCTCTCTCCTTGTCAGAAATGCTTTTAAAGAATTGAGACAAAAACCCCAAATGGAAAGATGGTAATTTTTGCTAAAAAATAGTGTAGAGGCCGTAACTAAATACAATTTTTAAAAAATGTTGAGATGCATGTATTTCTTTAAAGCAGCTTTCAAAACATCAACCACAGCATTAAACATTGAACATAGTACATTCTGAAGTTAATACAGATAAATGGTATATAATGCAATAATGCCACATTTACTCCATAAATGTCTCAAAGCCCATTCTAAACTGGAAAAAATATTTTCTAGTTTATTAGCTGGAGATTTCACTTCTTTACTATGTCTCTAGAGTTTTCACCACTGACTTTTTTTTTTTTCTTTTTTTCTTTTTTAATGCCCCAGGAGGTACAGATAAATTCCCACATGCCACACCTGGAACTTTTTTTTTTTTTTCTCCCTCTGTCAGGTTTCCAAAAAAAACCCAAACTACAATGACAAGATAATGTTTTACATCGTAATCCCATAGACATAGGTCAGTTAATCCATGACACCTCGTTTCAACGCTTTCTTTAGGATTTACGACCTTCCCCAAAGTCATTTAAAGCCTTGCTTTCACCTGCGCAGCCAGCACGCATGCGCGGCGGCCACACGGCACACGCGCTACACCTGTCTCCTTCCCCCGGTTTCCTTTTGGTGGCGGCATGGCCACCTCCCTCTGCCGGGAAAGGCGCAGTGCCTCTGTTTCCTCCCCTCCACGGTGATCAACGTCTTAAGAGCCTCGGCTTCCAGGTTGCACGCTCCACGAGGGAAAAGGGCCCAACTGGAGGGCCCAGGCCGACTACTGTTCTTTCTTGACAGTGGGATTCTGAGCTCTGTCAGCTTCCAGACATTCGGAGACCACACTGCTCTGTTTAAAACCCTTGGAGCCGACCAGCGAGTACCCAGGCTCAGTTCCAGGACGGGGCCTCCGAGCTGGGGCGAGGCAGGGCTTCAGACTGTGGCCTCTTAGGGAAACGCAGGCACTTGTGGCGGCCTGATGCTTCTGGATAAGTCACCGAAACGTTCACTTCCTCGCATTCGGGAGGATTCGGTTTCATACACAGACAGAGCCAGTATTGGTGGGGTGGGGGTAGGGGGGGGGAGTGTATCCAAAAATGTATGAATATGCACATCAGGGCTTAAGGTACTGGATGCTATTGGATAAATTGCTAAAATGCTTCTCGGCACAATTGGTAGCTTAAAAAAATACTTTCCTATGGTTTAACGGCATTTTCCCCATCACTGTTCTTCGCTGTGGAAATCTTGGTGGGTACCAAGTCCATCTGAAGTTCCCCAGTGTTTTCTCCCCACTGGGTCTGTACCATGTGAACCATACGCAAAGTGTGTTGTTCTTCGGGCCAGGAAGAATGGCCTTCGCCGAGCGCCTTCCCTCTCTTAATATCGCAGCCCCCAGGGCAAAGAAATGCAAGGAAAATGAACACCTTCTTCCTAACTTCCAACAGCCGGCTTCTGGAACAGTCAAGTCCTTTGTCAGTTCGTTTGCTCTTCAGATGGTGAGTCAGTCCAGCCAACAACATGGAAAACAAATCCGTGTTTATAGGCACAGGAGAGCCAGGTGGTGCTGCCCAGGTGGGGCTTGGCAATTGGCGGTAGGGTTTCCAAAGACAGGAGGTTCAATGGGACCGTCTTAAATAAATAAATCTTTTTTTTTTTTTTTCTTGAGAATGTAAAAAATAAATGGTATTTCCCTTTGGCAGTAAATAGCTGATTCGACGCTGAGCCCGAAAGCTGTTTTTGTTTTGTTTTAGGTTTTGTTTTTAAGAGACCACGGCTTCGTTTCATGGGACATCACTGGTGATGCATATACTTCTACTGCTTTAGTGAACCTTTTGCATATTTGTTTGTGGCAGGCCTTCTGACTTCACTTGTGGCCCAGATAGGCACCCAGGGTGATGCAAGCCCCCACCAGGGCCAGACTGAGCAGGGCCTTCAGGGACAGCCAGGAGAAATCAAACAGAGGCTGCATGCTGGGGCCGTACAGTTCCACAAAGGCATCCTGCGGGGAAGAGAAGGGGAGACAAAAGAAACAGAATTAGAGAGAGAGAGAGAGAGAGAGAGAGAGCACAGGGTGCCGGCCTACAGGGAGAGTGGCATCCAGCCAGAGGACCGGGGCACCTTCAGAAGGGCGTAGGGAAAAGTAAAACGCTCTTTCGGGGCGGTGATTCAGACCCACTGTTTTTACTTCCATTCGAGACGCTGTCGTTGAGATCCTGTTGACGGGCCAGGTACCACAGAGACATAGCAGTGAGTGATGTAGACTGAAGGTTCCTACTTCACCAAGCTTTTATCTAGTGGCGGGCCACAGACAGTAAACAAAATAAATGCATCCTAGAGTGTACTCGAGATTCCTAAGTGCTAAGGAGAAAAATTAAACGGCAAAGGCTGTTAGCAAATATCGGAGGCTTTGCAATTTTAGCGAGCATGGCCAATCCTAAAAATAATGAGAAACACGGAGTATGAGTCTGTTCCTTTCTTGAATGCTTGCTGTATGCTAGGCACTTGTAATAAATGTCTCAAATGCATCATTTGATTTATCCTTCATACCAATATTATGGAGTCATTTTACTTCTGTTCTGAAGAGGGGGAAAAAGCTGGGGGAGGGGGGAGGAAACACAGAGGCTAAGGGATTTGTCTAATCAATGGCAGCGACTGGATTCGAACCCAGAGGCGCACCGGTGCTCTTCGGTCTGCTGATGTCCTCTTACGGCTCACAGCAGCTCTGTCCAGATGCTGGTGCGGTGGACACACACAGGGTGGCCTCGCTTGGTGGCATGCCTAGGCTCCAAAGTAACAGAGTTCTCCCTGGGTAAAAAAGTTGTCACGGGGTTTCTTCCGGGAGAGGCCGGGCCGGATGACCACCACCCTGCATTTAACTCGAGTTGTGCACGTTGCAAAGCACGTGGTCACTTCTGGTCAGTTCGTTACGCGTCACTGCAGACCCAGGTCCCTGAGAAAAGAGGACGACTCCTATCTTCCCTTCCTATTGCTGCATCTAAGTCGGGTCTGCAGTACGTCATGACGACATTCTCTGGATTGTTTCACACTGGATCAACCACTCGATGCCCATTTCTTAGATTTGTCGGGGGACATTTGTTGGACCCAACGAGTATCTGGACAACTCTCTTAATATATCTGAATATATAAAATGGTAAGAGAAATTCTTTTTGCTTGGTGTGATTTATTCAGACATGAAGAGAGCAAGACATAGCTCCACATTACTCCCAATAACGTGGCATCACAGCACACGATTTCATCACGTGAGACGGTAACATGCCAACGCTTCTGGCTTTGCCGGGTGGAGGTGCCTGTGACAATGTTCAGTGTTTCTACCTGTGAAGGGCAAGTACTGCACGGAGGAGCCAGGTACCAGCTTTGTCTCTCCAGTGCCGTTCATGGTTTTGATACATGCAGGTGTTTATGAGTATTTGTTCAACTAGCACTTAAAGTTTTCTGAATTCAATCACCGGCTCGAGTTCGGTCTCTGGCCCAATGCTTCACCAGATGCTTCCCCTGCCTACTTGAAATTACTCCCTCTGTTCGTAACAACCTTTGGGAATCTTAGGAGTAGTCCTGAAGGTGAGAGTTTAAGGCATCATTGGGGGGAACTTCCCATGTTATTAAATACAGATTTACATGGTTATTCTTCATGACTGTATAGTATTCTTTTGCATATATGCTGTACTTGATTTAACCGGTTATCTATTTGAAACTTTTGCGGTCGTAAACGATATTATGATACATTTTTGTACATAAATTCCTGTCTACTTGTTCAGTTGCTTTTGGGGGACAGATTCCTAGAAGTGAACCCAGTTGATCCGTCATCAAAATCGCCCCCCACAGGCACAAAGGGTTTGTGATGAGGCACTCCCACTCCCTCCCTGGTTGCCCTGTGATCGGCAACACCATTCACGGAAGTCAGAGAAGGGTTTAGGGCAGTGGTTCTCAAGTGGGTACTCTTGCTCCCCAGGGGACATTAGGCAATGTCTGGAGACATTTTTGGTAGGGGTGCTCCTGGCACCTAGTGGGGAGAAGCCAGGGACGCTGTTCGCCATCTTATAACGCACAGGACAGTCCCCACCATAAAGAATCATCCACCCATTCTTCACATGGGTGAAAGGTTAGGAGAAACTCTGATCATGGACCACAGAAAACCTAATGGTCCATTTAGCGTGTCAACAGCTTGGGTCAGATTAACACAAGATGAGTTAGTTAGCCTTAGACAAGTGACTGGTCCCCAGCAAGTGGGTGCACTGTACTTTCAGATGCACTAGATTAACTGCTACCAGGAGAGGGCGCAAGGGTTTCCTTCTTTTCTGCTCTATTGTTGGCATTTTCTAAATTGGAGCCTTAGAAAAGCAAGGCAAGAGACATAAATGAAATACGTGTTTAGTGTTCTTAGCACAAAGCTGAAGTAATGATCACGAATGCTTGTCAAGGAACATACCTTCCCTGTATATAATCAGGGATAAATGGGGCAGGAAGGGGTCAGGACAGATTTATGGGCAGGAGAAACTCTGCTTCTTGTAAAGTGCATCCCAGGATCCCACAGACACAGCTGGAAACACCTAACAGCCCACCCTTCCATGCTGCTCTCGCTGAGGGATGGGCAGGCTGGAACCTCCCAGATGACGCCTGGCAGCCTTCAGGGCCCGGCCCTGGGCTGTGTACAATGTGGCTTGACATCGAGAGGGTCCATGGTTGGATCCAGCCTTCCTCTAGTTACCAATGGGGTTTTCCTTGGCAGAATATGAAACGGACTAAGCCCCTTGCTCTCTGACCTTTCTGGCGGCAGAGCCATCCTGAGAATGTGGGGGAAGCGGAGACAAACTGGGGTTGGCATCTTCTCCCTGTTTGCCTGGTGCACGCTACTGATACCAGGGAGCAGAAGAAATGTCCCTCCAAATATCCCTACCTCTCTGGGGCTGAACGATTCCCTCTCCCGACCACCATCCCCTTGTGTAAATAACCGTGCTTCTAATGGACCTAATGGGCCATTTCTGATGTGCATTATAAAGAAATGCATAATTTCTAGAGTGGGATGAGCCACAGTAGCATCTCTTGACCCAAAGAATAAACACTGAGTCGCTGACTCAGCCCCAGGTGACTGGGAATGGCTCTCAACTTGGGGGAGAAGGTCTGGGTGAAATCCCGTTTTTGACATTTTATTGCTTATGACCTTGAACAAATTATCCAGCCCCGGGCCTCATTTATTTCACCCATAAAATTGGTTGTTGTGAAGATTAACACAGGCGACTCAAAGCCACTTGCAAACGTGGCCTCGAATGTGAACTTGTGGCCGTATTAACTTGTTTGCTAGTCTGCCCTCTTGGAAACCTGCCCTGCCCTTCAGAGGGTCTACTGAGCCCGCCATTTCACAGGAGCAATCTACTAGCTCCCTCCAAGGAGTCAGCTTTTGGTTCCGGAGATGCTTGGTCATCTCTATAGAAGTAAGGAGTTAAAATGTACAAATAGGCACATGACGTGTTCCGGTCAAAGATGGGAGGTGATAATACGCTGGCCCTCTATACTTCCTCAGAAATTATTAGGTCAGGGTGTGGGGCTGGGGGGCATCATTTGACACCCCCCCACCCCCCCACCCCACGACGGGATCCAGCCCCCAAGGTTTGCCCATCTCCGATTGCAAAGTGCAAAGCAGACCCATGCTTTCAGGACTGAAGGTCCTACAAGCTACTTTTATAGAAAGTCTTCTTGCTTTTTCAAACATCCTGATTAGGGCGATTTCCGAAGTCTGTTTGAACAGTCTGTCATTATTTGTTTAAGGTTGAAAGCTGTTTTAAATAAACACATGCTCATTTTATGTATTAAAAGCAACAAAGAGGGAAAAAGAAAACCTGAGGCATCGTCACGTGATGTGGACAAAGTCTCCGTCTGTGCACTTAGGGGTCACCGGAACAACTGTTGCTCAGGTCTGGACTGGGGCGGGGGGCACCGCCAGATTTCAGAGACGTGTGTGGCAGGTTCCGAGGTGAGTAGCCTTTCTCCTTCAGTTGACCCTCCCCTCAGAGAGGACACAAGCAGGGTCCCAGCTCTGGGTCCTCTTTTGTAGACCGCTTCTCCACCAGCTTCAAATTCAGAGGCCACAGATGGTCTGAGTCTGAGCTCCACCCAGAGCTGGCCCACCAGGGCAGAAGGCCAGACTTCCGACCCCAGACCCTTGCCGCACAGTTGGAAGTAAGCCAGGAGGGTGTGGGCAGGAGCAGATCATACTCAAGACTCCAAGCAAGGGGACCACAAAAGTGTCCTCAGCCCTCCTGCATTTTGACTGGTCATGGGGTCATGGGACCTCTCCCACCTGATTCTTTATCTCTCTCCATCTCTCTGTCTCTCCGTCTCTCTCACACCCACCCTTCCCTTGAGGCAACTCTCCAAATTTTCCTTTTCCCTCCAGTACCCTTCAAGAAGTTTCATTTAAATCTGATTCCAAATAAAATGATATTAAGATACAAAGGAGTCAGATTGGCAAAAACCGATAAAAACACAGTTCTACTGAAGAGGGTGGGGTGGGGGCTGGGGGTGGGAGCCCCGGATAGTCTTACACAATTGATGGACCCCCAGGTAAAGATAATTGTATTTGTAGTTGGCAATGCATATCAGAAGTTTTAAAAATATTATCCTTTTGTTATGAATCCCACCCCTAGCTATTCATCTTAAAAAAATAATAAAATGCACAGGTTGGTTATGACAGGTAAAACGTAAAAAGAACTGAAATGTCTGAAAATATGATTGGTTAGGTAAACTTATGGCACATCCATGCAATGGAATAATGTTCAGCCATTAAAAATTGAACTCTGTATTTACTGGCAAGGTAAGATGTTCCCAACATAGTTTGGAGTGAAACAAGTAACAGCTAAACCAACGTCTGCAAGTTCGGGCCTGATTCGTGGTGGTTTGCAGATCTCCTTAAACACTGGGAAATTTTTTTTTTAAGATTTTATTTTTAAGTAATCTCCACATGCAACGTGGGGCTCGAACTCA